GTTTTTTTACAACTTTTGTGTTATGTATTGATGTGAATTACTTGGAAACTGTTGGAAACGGTCAAACGGCTGTGTCTGTTTAAACTCCAGACTGTCTGTCTACATGTTAGTTTGTGTTTAAGCGGGAAATACTGCTTTAATTCTATTGGCCGCCGCCTAGCAATGATCTGTATAAATAGAGGTTAAGTGGCAGTTAGTGTTGCTTCTGTGTTAACTTAATAAACGGGTTGTTGTTTGCACCAATTGCCTGGTCAATGCCTCACCGAACCCGAAACATAACAGTGGCGATGAGGATGGGATGTGCTGCTAAGGGAGAAAGAGCCAGAAGTCACTAGGGGGTGAGACCAGGCCTCAGCGTCCTGGAAAGAACCCCATTCCCACCCCCCTCTGCCTCCCTCTGGAAGCCCACGTCCTGAGGGACCCGTCCCTAGGACCAACACAGAAGCCTTAGCAGCACAAGGCATTGAGAGGTCAGAAACAACTCACCATGGCCAAGCTCGGCAAACTGTCGGAGTTCGACGTGCCGCATCCCGAGAGGTGGTGTTCATACATTTCTCGAGTCGAGAACTATCTGAGAGCTAACCAAGTTAGCGAAGATGGCTTAAAGGCCGCAACGCTGCTGTGCGTGTGTGGCCAGGCGATGTTCGATATAGCCGAAAACTTAGTCGCTCCAGCTACACTTGAGTCGGTCGCCTACTCCAAGCTCAAAAAAATGCTCAAGGAACATTTCGAGCCAAAGCTCTCTGTCATTGCCTGGAGACACACATTCGAACAAAGAGAGCAGCAACCAGGCGAGTCTGCTGCCAAGTTCATAGGCACACCCTCCACCCACACCCCGCAGCATCATCTGCACGCTATGGGGTGTGAGGGCGGAGTCTTGTCCCTGCTACCCGGCTATGTCCTTGGTTGCGTTGCTCTGTGCGGGCCGCGCCCAGGGGCAACTCTCCTCCAGGGGGCTGCTGTGAGGAGGGGGCCATGGGGACAGGCGGAGCTGGGGCAATGGTGCACATGCTCACAGAGAGGGCTCTGAGTGCCGCCTTTGGCACGCGTGCCATAGGTTCACCACCACTGATCTAGGGGGAAGGGGTGTTATGTATTGATGTGAATTACTGTCAAACGGCTGTGTCTGTTTAAACTCCAGACTGTCTGTCTACATACTTGTTAGCTTGTGTTTAAGCGGGAAATACTGCTTTAATTCTATTGGCTGCCGCCTAGCTGTGATCTGTATAGAGGTTAAGCGGCAGTTAGTGCTGCTTCTGTGTTAACTTAATAAACAGGTTGTTGTTTGCATCAATTGCCTCGTCAATGCCTCACCGATCCTGAAACATAAGTTTGTTTAATGCAAAATAAGCAAATAAGAGATGTTTGTGGAATTGCACCCAAGGTGGCGTATACTTAAAATTGCAAATCAGATCTTCATATTTCATTGGCTAAATTGGGGGTTCTCCAAACTTGGCATCTTTAAAGTCTTATGGACTTCAATTCCCAGAATTCCTCAGTCATCGTGGATGGTATACAATACATGGATTATGTGGACTACACTACAGCATCCCAGGCTGGCTAGGGAATTCTGAAACTTGAGTCCCAACTACTTATCTAAAGCAGCTGCAATTAAAATGTTCTCCTGCAAACCTTGGCTTTTGGGAATTGAGTTGATTTGAGAGGCATCTGCACATGCTCAGAGGCTCCCTTCCTTGGTGTTAGGGGACAGGGTCTCTGGAATCTTTCATTTAAGTCAGGGGTCTTCAAACTTGGCTCTTTTGACTTGTGGACTTCAATTCCCAGAATTCCTCAGCCAGGTATGCTGGCTGAGGAATTCTGGGAGTTGAAGTCCACAAGTCATAAAAGGGCCAAGTTTGAAGACTCCTGATTTAAGTACATGGGTTGCTGGTCTGCTTTAAAAGAGGATGCAATGCGTGGACTTCAAATTTCAGAATCCAATTCCCCTGTGCCGGCTTGAGAATTGAATCCAAAATACTTGACTTATGACAACTGAGTCCAACATTTCTGTTGCTAAGTGAGGTAGTTGAGTTTTGCCCCATTTTATGACCTTTTTTGCCACAGTTGTTAGATGAATCACTGCCATTAAGTTAATAACACGGTTGTTAAGTGAATCTGGCTTCCCCACGGACTTTGCTTGTCCGGTCACAGAAGAGGATGACATAACGCAAGGATACTGCCACCATCATAAATGTGAGTCAGTTGCCCAGTGCCTGAATTTTGATCACGTGACCAGGGGGATATCGTATCGGTTATGTGAAAAACAGTCCTAAGTCACTGTTCAGAGCTGTTGTAATTTTGAACAGTCACTAAATGAACTCGTTGAGGACTACCTGTATTCAGATGCATTCCCTTACTTTCAAGGGTATATTTTTCAGCATTATTTTGGATTTTATCACATTTGATTGATGGGGTCTTAGCTTGTCTACAATCTCTGCCAATCTGGGCCTGCCTATTGCATCCCATTCTCACGGACAGATTGATTGATACAGCAGACACTAATAATTTGAATGTGAGATGCTCAACGGAGTCATTGCCCTAAATTGAGTATCTTGGCTATCCTGGTCCTTCGTTGCCTTTTGGATGTGCTTGTTGGAAATGCTGGCAACTGCAGGAGCCCACCTGTGGAGCGTGTCCGACTGAGGAGGCCTGCACCACACAGAGCCAATTGTTCCCCTTTTGATGAATGCAAGAAACCGGACGTAAATGGGTATTTATTTAATTTATCACATTTTAAAACACTCATCTTCTTCCTTTAGGGAAATAATAAATATTCCAAAGAAAGGAGACTCTGGATACTGAAGCTGTCTCTCTCAAGGGTGGTTTTGTTCCATAAAAAAAAACTGAGGCAGAGTGTTCCACTGGCTAACCATAATGTAAAAAAATCACAACACAGAATCCTCAAACGCCATTTGTGTGAAGCATTGAAGAGCATCAAAGATTTGAAAGAATAACAGAATTGGAATAGTCCAACCCCGTTCAAGCAGGAGACCCTCAGCCATGTTAGACAAATGGCTGTCCAAAAAGTTTTGAAACCAAGAG